TTGCAGAATCTTTCCTACTTTCTGAAAGGTTTTACATCGGTATGTTTAAGGATATCTACTCGATATAAAGCAATATTTATTAATACTTATTTTGACTCAAACTCTTAACTAAATGAATATAGAAAAAATATGCCGGTTTAAGAAAGTTTTAGATAAATATTTGTAATCATCCAGAACAAAAAGTTTTATCAAAATTAAACTTTTTTAGGTTTAATGGACGTTTTCAAAAAAATGCAAAAAAAATCATTTCTGACACCCCTAGGCTTTGTACGCCAATATAATTCACCAAAACCATACTGCAGTCCTTCAATTATCATACAGGGAAATTTTCATCTTTCTAAACATCCCAACGAATGATTTTACAGGTTCTTTGGCGAGACTTGCACACAAAACTTAAGCAGGACAAACACCTTTGCATCGTTATTATCTAAATAACCAGAAGTTAGAACTTTTGACATATTCATCGGGATCCAGCTTTGATCTCCATCTTATGCAGATCTACGGATTGATTTAATCCTCTTCGATATCCCGGTATGGTCATACCCAACAAGGCTGCAGGGATATTTTGATTTGAGAAATCAAGCATGCATTGTAAATTTAAGATTAATCTTACAAGATGAACAATATCCACACAATAAGTCCAACAACTGAGCATCAATCAATTTTTTCACTGTATTTCCAAAGGTCAGGTATTGCGGCAACTTAGCAACGCCTGTCTTTTCGCGCACGTCAAACTGATATAAATTGAACGTAAATTTAAAATATTTTATGTTTTCAATCCTTACTCATCTTTTTAAAAAGCTATTGAGGAATTGAGTTTTTGCACCAAACTCAAATGTTCTAATCCTCATATATCTGCAACCAGATGGTGTACACGTTTGAAATTTCAAACTTAGATTATTTGATCCAACAGAACTATTAGTTTGAAATATATAAGGTCGACATGTGGTTGCAAAGATATAGGAATTATAAAATCAGAGTTTGTGGCAAAGACTCAATTTCTTTCATTGCTCGGTAACAGCACTCTGAGACTGTTATGAAAAATTAAATCATTTTTGAAGAATGGGTCGAACTTGTAAAAAGTAAAGAAAGATCACTTTCCCCATTAGTTTTCTAATTTTATGGTTTACATATCTTATACAAGCTTGCTTGAGAACCCAGGAGTTGCCCAGACCGTACCAAAAGTTACATCCACCGTTTACCCGCACTTAAACGATTTTACCGGGAAACTAAATTTTCATTGTTAAAGTCGGCCCACTCCATTTAGAATCTCAAAATCATGTTAAGAACATTCCCGTGAGTCTCCCGATCAAAATTTGAGGCAAATCGGTCCAGGGGTTCCTAAGTTATTATCGGACAAACAAACAGTCACGATGACATCCAGCGATTGCAACTTTATAAGATGATATATATCCTTAGTGAAATGTTCTGTCTGTCCAATATATAGAATGCTTGTTGTTTATATAGTCGGACATATATAATCAATTTACTCTCAGTTCGATGATAAACATTTCCTAGACAATATAGTCTAGTTTAGAGATCTTTATTTTACACCATGCTTGGAAGGAACATGGGGTAGATTTTAAATTTCATTCTTTTTACATTTTTTTTTTACTTTTTTGCCATCTTTATTGGATACAAACCAACAGGATGTTATTTACATCCCGGGTTTGAGAGCACCGCGTACAAAACTTTCTGGTGTAAATCTTTGATTTTCGTTGGTTTCATCCATTTGCAAGGAATTTTGAGGATTTTTATATTTTCATTGGAGGATTTTCAAAAATCTTCTTTTTTATCCTGTCCCATGATAGGGTTAAACTTTTATATGTATAATTTAATCATCTTTGTATTTGTTTTAACTTTTACTCAACAAGGCAATTTAAACTCTTTGAAATAAATATATAGATATATTTTTATAAAATTGTTTGTATTTTAAGATTGAATAGAGTAAGGTTTGGTTAAGACATGTTTGTTACTGGAATTCAGCCAACTTTCCCCCGACCTCAACTCTTTCTTCTACTGAACCTTCAGATTATAATTCTAATTATAGAAAACTATTTTTCCTTTTACCATTCTAATTTTATTACAGTCTAAACTTTAAAGTTTTTGCCACAAACTCAAATATTTTAACCTCTATATCTTTAGAACCCGATGTTGTAAACCTTTGATATTTCAAACTCAGATAATTTGATATTACAGAATTGATAGTTTAAAATATCTAAGGTCTACAACATGCTGTTCCAAAGATAAAGTGACTAAAAAATCAGAATGTGTGGCAAAGACTCAATTCCTTTGC